GGTCTTTACTTTTCCATGAAGGTTTTACCTCCTCCCTTTTTGTCTTGCTTTGGGTCGCATGCATGAGGTCTACCACTTCCAGGTTCAGATCTCTACTGAGGTTGGCATTTGTAACTTGCACTAAAACATCACTGGTGATGTTCCTTTTTGAGGCTTCGCCCACCATAAGACATTAAATTAAAACTAATTAATTTATTTATTTTTACCATAAGACATTTTAAAAAAAGAGAGTCCCATCATTCAACAGAAGATATTTACTATTTTCTATATACTGCCCTTACAATACATGCTCCGTATACTTGGACTTAGATTGGGGTCCTTTAATGAGGACGGTATGGTGAGAATCACCATAATCCTCAGCAACAATGTTTTCCTCATAGATTCACATTCTTGGAGAGCATAGGATCTTAAATTTATAATAGTTTAAAAGTTCTTCCCTTCTTTTAACTTAAACACATCACTTACCTTAAAGTATAAGTTCTCAAAATAAATTGGATTTATATTTCCTGACCTGGATATATACCTTTCTCTAGTTCATGACTTGAGAATAAGGCTTTCATAATGGGGGATTTAATAGTAGCATTTCTTTTGGAATTACATATTCTATCTATCTATCTATCTATCTATCTATCTATCTATCTATCTATCTATCATCTACCAACCTATGAGAGAGAGAGAGAGAGAGAGAGAGGAATGGTAACACACAGATTAAAAACTGAACACAGCTGGCCTCCCAGAAGCAGCCTGTGTGCACCTTCTAATTACCAACCTTTCCCTTAAGAGGAAAATATTACTCTGAAATTGTGAAAATTATTTCCTTATGTACTCATCATTTTGAATTTCAGAAAAATAAAATTTTATTTATTGGTTTTATTTCTTTTGATAAATATTTCATGATTCACCATTTTCTTTAAAAAATTTTTAAAAATTAAATCTTTATTGTTAAAATAATTAAATATATCCCTTTTGTGTGTGTAATTATTCACACACATTAAGAGGGTTATGATAAAAAATTTGGAAAATATCAAGTGTTGGTGTGGATGTAGGAAAATTGGAACCATTGTGCATTGCTGTTGGAAATGTAGAATATTGCAGCCACTGTAAAAAATAGTATGGCGGTTCTTAAATCAATTAGAATTACCATGTGATCCAGAAATTGGGGAGATTATATATATATATATATATATATATATATATATATATATATATATATTCAAAAGAATAGAAAACAGGAATTGGAATAGATATTTGTACACCAATATTCATAGCAGTATTTTTCACAGTAACCAAAGGTGGAAACAATTCAAATGTATATTGATGGATGACTGGATAAACAAAATGTGGTATACACATACATTGAAATATTATTCAACCTCATAAAGAAAGGAAATTCTGGTACATACTACAACATGATAAAATGGTCAACTTTATTTAGAGAAAAAGTAGAATGGTGTTTGTCAGGGGCTGGAGGGAGGATGGGGATGGAGTTATTGTTTAATGGGTACAGAGTTTCAGTTTGGGATGGAAAACATTTTGGAAATGGATGGTGGTGATGGTTGCACAACAATGTGACTGTGCTTAATGTCACTGAGACATAGACTTAAAAATGGCTAACATGGTAAATGTCATGTTATCCATATCTATATATATAAAAGGCTAATATGCAAATTGTCCCCTTGGGCAGTTGTTCGACTGGGAGTTCAACTGTTTGCTATGATGTGCACTAACCACCAGTTGGGGGCACGGAATGAAGAAAGACGCCAGCTGGAAGCTGGGGAAGGGAAGCCCCAGCCGGCAGTGAAGGCCCCAGCCAGGCCTAGGGACCCTACCTGTGCACGAATTTTGTGCACTAGGCCTCTAGTTTACCATAATAAAATAAGTAAGAAAGCAAGAAAAGTAAGAATGCCTAATATCTGGAACTGTGTAAGATGTAGAAAACTAATAATTTAAGCAAAAAGAATGCTCAACCTGGACTAAACTCGGTTCCCAATGTTTGGGCATGGAGATTAGCGTTTCAAGACCAGATCATATAAATCATACTCCTAGTTCAAATGTATTTAGGGCTTACTGTGTGGCACATATTAGCCTAAGTGTTTTACATGCATTAACTCGTGGGTCCTCTCAACAGCCTATTTTGTGGTTACTGAAGGATTACATTCTACTAGTATGTAAATTGGAAATATTGTGGCATTAATATATTACTAAAATCTCAGTTAACCTCCAAAGTCTCCTATAATAACAACAACCCAAATTAAAATGTTATCAATAAACATAATCCACAAGCTTGGACATGAAATGAGTTTAAATTGTATTTATGCTCTTGCCAAAGGGAGGTGCCTACAGGGAGGTGAGGCCCGTTAGCCATCCAATGCCCTCCATCTCTCCTTTCTCACTGATATTCGCCCAAATAAGAGCAGAGTGTGGGGACTTCCAGGGCACACACTGCGGTCTCCTGTTGCTACTCTCACTTCTGACTTCTGTCTCTTCTCAACCTACAGTTTCTGTCTAATCTAGGGAAGAAAGTGGGGAGGAAACCTCTCAGATCATTCTGCATTTGTCACAAATCTAATACTTATGACAAAAATTTCACTTTTATTCTCAAAATCCAATTTTGTATTTAAAATACTTTATTTCAATTTTTTGTCTCTTCCACAGATTTTTGAATTCTATTTTAAAATAAAAAACCTAAATATTGTCCCTTTCTCATTTTTTGGTATTTTTTGGATATAAAAAACATTACACTGAGGGGAGAAAGTTTGCACTATTCTCACTGATACCTAAATGGGTAAGGAGAGAGAGAACAAAATGGAAGTACAAAAAGGAAGAAAACATGTTTATTATGTTACAATATCATTTGGACACGTTGACTGTGTGTTATTAACATGACCCGAGAAAGAGGTTAAATGAGCTGAGACGTCTGCTAACATTCCAGCATGAGGTCTCCCATTCTTATCCATTTAGAGAAAATTATACTCTAAACAAAGATACCCAGGAAAGAGATATAATTTTTTTTTCAGTACAGATATTGAATTAGGGTCACTAAGAACCAGGTGGCTGGGCAGAATGGCCCAGGTTTTTCTGTGAAAGGTAGATGATGAATGAAGACTGAGTAGGAAGAATTCATAAAGGTCAGTGGTCTCTGAAGGAAAAATTGGTCACAAGTTCCACTCAAGCGGGGAGATGAGGAGGCTGAGGAAGGAGCAGGGAGCAGGTCTAGGTCATACATCAAGGCCAAGACAGGGAACTGAGTCTGAACCATTCCTCTTCTTTCTTATGAAGACCGATGACCTGAAACAGGAAACAGCACGAGATTGGTGGGTCCTCCATTCCTGTCCCAAGGTCAACCCATTCTTCAATTTTCCCACAAATTTTCAAACACATTTATGTATCCTGGGTAGCAAATCCTCCCCCCGGCGGCTTCACTACCTGCCAGAAACATCCACCCCAAGATCGGTACACCCTGTATCACTACCTGTCCCCACTTGCCCAGGACGAGATGCAATGTAATTCCTCTCTGTTGTCTAGCAGCTAGAACCTG